TCTACCATGTTGACTGCTACAAACAGAAACTTCCACTTTGCTCAATATTCTGGAATAACCTAAATGAGAAAAGAATTTGAAAAAGAAGGGATAAAAGTATATGTTTAGTTGAATCACTTTGCAATCCTACAGCTACACAACTTTGTTAATCAACTATACTCCAATATAAAATAAACTTAAAATTTTAAAAATAAATAAAAACAAAACAGGAACTTTTAGGGAAATGTTTAGCAGTCTTGGCGACTTTTGGGAGGGTGGATATTACAAATGCATTGATTCAATTATGGCCTATTTAACACACATCACATGATCACTAGATTTCCATTTCTACAAAAAGTGTGCAATATACATGTACAGCAAAACTTTAGCACCAAAAACTTTGAAAAAACATGAAGTGGAAGAGAATGCCCAGAATATATGTAAGAAATAAATTTTAGGAAGGATGAAGTAAGAACAGACCAAGCTAGGATCCCAATGGCCAAGACAGGGATCTACAAAATGCAACAAAGAGGAAAGCTTAGGGTTGGCCACTAGCATCTACTTACAACTATTCACAAATGATATATAGTCCCTGAAGCTTCACACAGATCTTTGTACTGTCTAATCACCTTTTAGAAGTAATCACCAAGTATATCAGATTAAGCATAAAAGATAAGAAGAGTTGGTAGGAGAAGAAAAGTTACCATAAAATAGAAGGGGGTTTTCCCGGTCACCTCTTGTGAAAAGCAATATTCATCATTACATAACAGTACTTCACTTCTTCAACTTCCTCAACTATCCCAAAGAGAGCGGAGAACCAGGAGGAAGTTAAAAAAAAAAACCCTAAACAACAAAAATAATTGTCACAAAGGTCTTTCATGACAACTTACAGACTAACAGGAAAGTCCCTTGAGTCTTTGGGCAGAGATCTTTACTTCTGGACAGTATTCTGAGGATTGTGATGACCTATGCTGTTTCAAATACAGCTTTGAAGCAGCAACCTGAGAATTGTAGGGGGAGTGGGTAGGGACATACTGTCCAGAGGAGGAGAAAGTTGGCACTGAAAATGACAGAAAAGCCACAAATACAAGATACACATACTCAGTGACACATTACAAGGGGACCATTTGTCCCCAAATAAATGACTTCACAGGCCACAAAAGTCCTTGAGGAAAAGTGCACATATGATAAATGATATGCATTGGGAGAAGGGAGGAGGAGGAGCTTATAAGGATAGGGAATTAAAAGGTCCACTATAATGTATAAAATAAGCTACAAGGTATATTAACACCAGACAGGAATGTAGCCAATACTTTACAATAACTATAAATGGAGTATAAACTGTAATAATTGTGACTCATTATACTGTACATTACATAAGATTAAAGATCAACTCTACTCAATTTTTTAAAAGTGATGTTTATAAGGAAAACGCTAATAGAGGCATATTCCAAATCTACACTCACAATAGTTAAAGAAGATGAAGTCAGAAGCATGTTTCAGGGCTGTGGGTAATTAAAGACGCCTGTCCAGTGACACAAGGCAGGTGAGGCCTTAGTCCAGACACTTGTGATTGGCGTCTATTGAGGCTACATGTGTGTGTGCTCAGAAGCTCGGTCCTGTCTGACCTTTGTGACCCTATGGACATAATCCGCCAGGCTCCTTTCCTCTGTCCATGGGATTGTCCAGGCAAGAATACCAGAGTGGGTTGCCATTTCCTCCTCCAGGGGATCTTCCTGACCCAGGGATCGAACCCCAGTCTGCTTCAGCTCCTGCACTGGCAGGCAGATTCTTTACCACTGAGCCACCTGGGAAGCCCAGTTAGGGCTACACACAGGTGATAAACAAATGAGCTGAGTTTTGTTTTGTTTGTGATATATATGGTTCCTTCTGCTACAGTATCTTGGAACTTACTCATTTCTTGGGAGGCATCCTCTTCTAAAACGAGTTCACACAGATCACAGTAATTTTTCCATGGCCATGAGCGTACAGGTAAGAAACTCTGCCTACCTCAGCGTTCTGATTTTTTATCTCCCTCTTTAAGTGAAATCTGGGTGGAAATTCTCGGTGGATATGTGAGACTTCATTGTTAGGAGTCATGCGAAGGATGAAGACACAAAGGCGGGACTTCCCCAGTAGTTGAGTGGTTAGTACTGGGCGATTTCACTTAGGGGGTTCAATCCATATACGGTGGAGAACTAAGATCCGACAAGCCACGTGGCATGGGCAGAAACGAAAGACACAGAGGTAACAGGTGATACTGGAGGATACAATTATCTTTACAGTAACGTGGCAAGAATTGCAACGTAGTTTTAGGTAAACAACCAAGTACCTAATTAATTGGGCAAATGACACTGATGTCTCAAGGATAACTTTGAAACACTTCCCTTGCCCCAGTGTAAACCCAAGTACCCACACTGGCTACAGCAATCAATCTCCATTTATAACACATCTCAGGACACCCAGCTGATCTGAAACTGAGCAGGCCTGGGGATGTGATGGGGACGACACCACAGGAGACTTTGGAATACTCCAGAAAAAAAACAGTCCCATGGTGGAGAAGGGGTCCATGAAAGTCAAAATGAGCTCCTACGGTCATGATAGGTCAATTTGGACATTTCCTATTTCGCACTTGGAAGATCTTTCAGAAACGATCCATTACAAACTGGGCCAATGGCACTTTTTAGGTGGCATCCTCAGGTGGGTCTGTACTTTCAGAATTAGACACCTAAATTGAGAAGGGCAACAAGGCAATCAAAAATCAATCAAAATTCAACAGGAGAGCAAAAAATGCCCACTTGAAAATTGGGGTGGAAAATTTGAAAGTTACACAAAAAGAGAAGTTCCGCAAACATTCCCTGGGGGAATCTTAATCAGCAACTACCTGTTACCCTCCCATCCTGGAACCTTGCCTGTGCGGGGAAAATAGCTCTATACCGCCCCCTAGCGTTGATTGCCTCGCTTCTCAGCCTGAACACCGCAAGGTGAGTGGTGCCTCCACTTCCACTTACTTCCGGAGGCCAACCCTCATTGGGCTAAACATAGCCCAGTCCTCTGCCCACAGATTAGGAAACAACCCAGCTATTTTTAGCATCATGCATCTTAGGAAAAGAAATGGCCCAGTCTCTGACGGCAACAGAATGTGTGTGGCCTGACTTCATGAACCCATTTCTCAGGAGGGTGTGCACCCACTCCAAGAAGTGGCCTAAGATCCCATGAAAGTTCTGGAGTCTGGTTAAAAGGGATGGTGGCACATGGACCACACGACAAAAATGCCAAGGAAAGGACAGTGACAGGCGCACGTCCTAAAGGGACTCGGGAACATAAGAGATGTCAGGCCAGGCCTGATATGTGTGAGCAGCAGGAGAAGGGACCTGGGGCAGGAAGAGTCAAAAACAGAAGCCAGAAGCCAGGAATAGCATGCATACTCATTTTGAGCAAGTCTGTCCAGTAAGAGGTAATATTTTGAGCTTGACATTTATTTTACATGAGAAAGAACAAAGGTTGGTCTGATCTGTTTCCTGCCAGGGTACAGCTGGTGCTGTGACTTCTTTGATCACCCCCCCCCCCCAGTCCTCTGCAGTCCCAGTGATTAGAGATGGATCCCTAGGCTGCCTTTTGATCAGCAGCTCAAGCAGCTTGCAGGTGCCATGTGCCATCACATCAACAAGTTGTAAGAAGCAGCCACATTAAGTCTAGCTGATGAATGTGATAGCTTGTCTTGCTGCCGGTACAATAAATACACGTAATGGCTACAAAGGTCCCAGGAATCCTTATTTTCTCTCCTTCTGTACTTGAGAACTTTCTGTGCTTTCTTAGAGGTGAACACTTTGGAGAGCTTCAGTACAAAACTAAAGCTTGAAACGCCCCCAAAACATAGAGAAAATGGTGCTCAGACTTAAAAACACAGCATACACCATTCCAATCTCCTAAGTATGCTGCTTATGTTCATGTCGCCTGGTTAATGAAGAGACAGCATTCTTGCATTCTGAATAGATGGCACACAAAGCCGTAAAAACATGTACATTTCTTTTCAAATAAAACTAAGAACCACTGCTTGTAAACAGAGTGTTTAATATTCTAATTTTAGACAGCCTGCATTAACATTGTGGTTTCATGTGCAGTATAAAATTTCTATTTACAAAGTAGTCTCAAAAATGACTTCATAATGGTAGATCAAGAGCAAAAGAGTTTAGAAACTGAATGATGTAAATCATATGGAGTTCAGAGGCTAAGCAAATTACACACCCTGAAGCAGCCCTGGCTTCATGAAAGGAGCCTTTCTCCAGCCCTGTGCAATCCCAGCCCAAGGGAACTTGCATCTGAGAGTTTTCTAAACATTTCAGGTACACTTGAAAGCTGAAAGTAATTCTCATTTCCTATGCAGGATTAAGTCGTTTCCAGCACACACAAAATAGCAGCCACTCACCATCGCATATAAAAACACACCACCAGAAAGGTAAGAGCTTCAGAGTACAAAGGCATATTAAAAAAAAAAAAAAAGCGCAAGAGAAATACATTTTTTAAATACCTCCTAAAAACATCCACACGGCCTCTTGACCGCTTTACTTCCTATCTATTTATTGATTAACTGATGTCTTTCCACTTAGAGCGCTTCAATTAATGAGGTTGATACACGTCTTGGGACAACCCCTCCCCAATCCAAAAAACTCTGAGTAAAGTCAAACACGCCAAGACTCATTCGTGTTGGCTTCGGATTTAGAGGCAGTTCTTGAACTTAGAACTCTGGCAACATGAGTTCTTGCAAGGCACGCTGGCACCGACGTTCCCCAGGGCTCCCCGAACGTCCCCTCTCCGGCTGCGCCCGCAGAGACACTCACGCCGCCGGGCTGGAGCCCCGGCGGCCGCTCCCGAAGTTGCAAACTCCGCGGAACCTCCGAAAGCCGGTGCCTGCGAACACGCGCGGAGGCGTCCGTCCCCGCGCGGGCCGGGGTGCATCCCGCCCGGGTGCACAATGCGGCGCGGGAAGCGAGCGGGAGAAGGAGCTGGGGGGGACTCACCGTTCTGCTCCTTGTTGCTGGCGAGCTGGAGTTTGCTGCTCAGGTTGGACTCAGCCCGGGTCCCAGGTCTCTGGCCGGCCAGGGCGGATGTCAGCAGGAGGAGCCCGAAGAGGAGCATTGGGCTGAGCGGGCGGGCGCGCGGTCGGCGGGCACTGGGGGAGCGGGGCTCCGGGACGGGATCAGCGCCGCCGGGGGAGGGCCGCGCCGGGCGGGACGCGCCGCGCCTGCTCTGGCCGCCGAGCCTCGCGGGGCACTTTCCACATACTCCCATCCAAGACTTTCTCCGAGGGCCCTCTTCTGCGTCTCCAGTTTGTGCCGAGGATCAAAGCAAAACCTGGACCTGAACCAGTTTCCCAAGGTTTAAACAAATCCTGCGCTGTGCCGAGGCGGTGGGGGTGGGGTGGGGGCGAAGGCGAGGGNGGATGCGCCCGAGCGGCCCGAGCTCCCCTCGCCGGACGCCCCGAGCCCCAAATAACGGGCGGGCCGAGCGCTGCGGATGCCGCGGGAGCCAGAAGAAGTGGGAAGAACTTCCTGCCTCTTCCCTCTTCCCCGCCCCTGAGCCAGGACTCCTTGTTCCTTCCCGAGGGATCCCCGTTCCCAAAAGGCTGGGCCGGGACCCTTGGCCAGGGTCTGTGGGCTGGTGGAACGAAGGGACTTCGTTCCCTCCTGTTAACAACTCTCTGAAGAGAGGGGGTGTAAAAACCAAAAGTAAAGACAAACGAAGACAAATGGCCAGAATAATCACATTTATTCATTTAACGAACACTCTGTTGACTGAATGCCTACGGAGGCAGGCACTGTTCTAAGCCTGCAGAAATGAAAACAGATCTAAGTCTCAGGCCTCCTGAAACTTGTCTTAAATTAGGATCAAGCAAGGGCCAGGGCAGGCAAAGAAGAAATAGCCTCCAACTGCTTGTGGACAAGTGGATGCAAACTGACAGGATGTACTCGGGTATATTCTCCACCTGGAGTCAGACAGAAGGATGGACCCTTAAGATGTGAGCAGAGATGGTGGTGATGATTTAGTCACTAAGTCATGTTTGACTCATGCGACCCCATGAATTGTGCCCACCAAGTTACTCTGTCCATGGAGTTTCCCGGTCAAGAATACTGGAGTGGGTTGCCATTTCCTTCTACAGGGGATCTTCCCAACTCAGGGATTGAACATGTGTCTCCTGCATTACACGTGGATTCTTTACTGCTGAGCCACCAAGGAAGCCATAAGCTAAAATACCGTGGAGTTTAATTGTTTCTTTTTAAGTAGCTTTGCTTTCTTGCCCTACTAGGCCCTCCATGAGGACTGGGGAGAGCTGCTCTGACAAAGATCCAGGGATGCTCAGATGTCCCCTGGACCAAACTAGGGGCAGACCCTTCCTCAGTCAGGCTGAAAATGTCAGATCCTCTTCCTAAGCTTGGAAGCCCGCTGAGACCAACCCTCTGGATCCACTTAATATCCTAGTCCCCTTCTTTCTTTCCTTCCTAAAATTCTCCTAAGTTCATCTCCTCTTTCAGAGAAGGCAATGGCAGCCCACTCCAGTACTCTTGCCTGGAGAATCCCATGGACGGAGGGGCCTGGTGGGCTGCAGTCTGTGGGGTCGCACAGAGTCGGACATGACTGAAGCGACTTCGCAGCAGCAGTAGCATCTCCTCTTTGAATCTTTACTCACCTAGGCCATCCTTTCATTCTTACTCCTTCACCACTTCTGTATCCAGAGTGCAGGATGTCAAGGCCAGTAAGAAAAGCGCAGTCTTTGAAGAAGTTACAGTTTAGCAGGACACAGGCCTTGTCATTGTATTCACTCCAGCAGCTCCTCAAGGCCAGTGTGTATCCATATTTGCGCAATAAATGATAGGTTCCAAGAGTTTTCTGTAGATTTGTGGGAGGGTGAGGGAGTGTTCCCAGTTTTAATGGCTTAATGAGACTCGTTATATAAAAGACATGTTTTATGAACATGCTTTAATCTATTTGTAATAAAATTAATTACTCCCCAATTTTTCTAATTTGGTACATTTAATTTTCTAATCAGGATATTTCTATTCATAAATAAGGCTGTTATATGTCTATATAGTTGAGTTTGATGACCACCCACATAGTGTGTGTGTGTGTGTGTGTGTGTGTGTGTGTGTGTGTGTGCAAATTCGATCTGTTTGCTTTCATGAGATCATAAGGGTGGGGATTGCCCTTTATTTTGTATCATTTCATATGGGCCAGAAGAGTGCCTGGCCCAAGGGGGCCATAAATAAACACTCTTGACTGACTGGCAGGTTTCTTTATTGGAGTTACTTAAATTTGCCCTAGAATTTCAGTATGGAGGATGTATTTGAAAAGTTACAGATGATCAGGAATAATACTCCAGCTCTGGGTTTCACCTCATCCATATTCTATAGATTGCTTTAAGACCGGCCTTATAAGTAAAGCCAGCTAGGTGCTCCTACAGGACCCCAAACCAGACCAAGTCCGCATCTGCATTGCCTGGGTTCCCTCCAGTGCCCTTGAACTGCTATCTCCCGAACTGCTCTTGCCCTTGGCAAGTTTGTTCTAACACTGTATCCTCCGCCTGTCTTCTACTCTCTTCTGCTTACAAACCCTTCCTAAGAAAGTAGTATTTTTGCATTGAAAGTAGATTTTATATAATCCAGAGTCTGCACAATTACTAAACAATAGATTCTGAATGAATGTGGCTTTGTTTTGGCCTAAAGCATTTTCCTTGAGGAAAGGCATCTGTTCCACCAACCAGGAGAAAATAATTGGGAACATTCTTTGTGGTTTTCATGTTTTCTTAAACATTCAGCAGGCGTGCCCACTCCGGCTGAATGCAGAGTGCTACCTACAAATTCCTGGTGAGGAACATACCAGAAGGTACTGGGTTATGAGCAGTCATAATTTGAGGAGGGAGGGTGGATGTCACTACTAAATTCTTTTTGAAGTGAAATAACATTTAAAGTCAACTATCCATTCAATTAGGCATTTAATACTCAGGAGAGCAGGAACCATGGGGACAAGTTTTTGCTCAGAAAATAAAATATTGCAAATTTTCTTCCTCTGTCTTCTGAATTAATCCTAACACACACACATGTGCAAAACGATATTAAAACTTTTCCTGGAACGTTTCAGTATTTTAGTGGCAGGTGATTTGAACATGAGTTTCTAAAGTTCAGAGCCCTGTGATCTACCTAAGTATCCACTACTTTCCAAAATGACTAACTGCCAACACTTCTGTATAGATTTAAATGAGGCTGGGAGCTGAGGGTATCATGAGTAAGCAAAGTAAATGCCCACAGATCACAGCAGGAATAAAGACTGTTCTAGCAGGAAACAAAAGAAATGAAGTAATCTTAGAATCATCCTTTCCTCTCCAGTTTCTCCAACTACCCCACCCAGAGAAAGATATGACCATGCTTTCTCTGGCTATTTCAGGATATATTTAGACTCTACTTTTCCAACCTGGAAACATAAAAACACACTTTTCCTTATATTTTGTTGGTCCAGATCAGTCACCCTTTACCAGTGTAGCAATGCTATCAGAAAGGCTGGCTTGCCCGAAGCAGATGGCAGGGGGTTGTGTTAGGATCCTGCTCCCAAGGATCCTAAGTCCGACTTTTTGAGGATGGAGAGTCCGGGGGGTGGGAAGTTAAAGGTGTGTGATCTAGAGAAACCGTGACAAGGACAGGCCTTGGGGTGGCGCTCTGTGGCCTTCCCACTGCAGTGAAGCTGCTCTTTCCTTTTGGCAGTCATGGTGAAGCATGCAAAGACTCTACAAGATCTCACAAGTGCTGGTGTGACTCAGAACTCAAGGGAGAATGAAGCCAGACACATCCCCAAAGAGACAGGAGCCCTGATCACCTCAGGGCCACCACAGCCAAAGGTCATTTCCCTGGGAGATGGGAGACCAGGGACCTAGTCTGGCCTTACTGCTGGCAAACAGCACAATCTTAATCTGGAATTCTTCCTGCCCCTTTTCTTTATGGGAGAAAATTGCACTGAATTCTTTGTTTGTATTATAGTATAATTGCTTTAAAATTCTGTTAAGTTTCTGCTATACAACAAAGTGAATACGCCATATGTACATGCACAGCCCCTCCTTCTAAGGTCCCCTTCACAGCCCCCTGATCCCACCCCCCTAGGTCATCACAGAGCCCTGAGCTGAGCTCTCTGTGCTACACGACAGGTTCCCACTTGCTATCTATTTTACACATGGTAGTGTATATATGTCAGTGCTACTGTCTCAATTCATCTCCTCCTCGCCTCCCCCCAGGAGACACAGAGGACCATTGGATTCTTAACTCCATCCTCTACTTGCTTTAGAATTCTTTAGGATGCAACAGATAATGATGGCGATTCTTTTAAAACTTAACAGTGCTTCTGTGATGATATGGAATTAGGACAAGTTTCCTGGCCTCAACTCAAAGGTGCCTTGGAGGCTAGCAAGAGATGATGAGCAGAGGCTTCTCCCTGAATTTGTCCAGTCAAACACAAAAGTTCTCTTTTATCTGTTGTGATCTTGGTTGGGAAAGAAGAGATCTACTGATAACCAAAAAGAGAGAAGGAAAAAAGGAGTTTGGATATCACTGACTAATGCAGTATCAGGAATTGTATTGCATTCAAGGAAACAATAAAATATGTGTGGGAGCCATATTTTAATATTTAATATTTGTTTGTTATCATGGCAATAACATCAAAAGAGGCCAAGGATTGGTCTGAAGGTAAAGAAAAATACCTATAGTACACAAACAAGTTGTAAATTGTAAGGAAATTCTATTGTCATTAGCCAAGAATGAATGTCCAACCTCCCACTATTCTGTAGAGCTCCATCGGTAGCATCTCTAACAATCATTAAATTGGGGATATATCCCCTAAAAATGAAACCAGCAATCAAACACTGTGCTTGGTCATATACCCGAGTCAATAAATGTCATTTTTTTCTTGCCTGAAGTCATGTGTAGGATAGGAAGGCTTCTGTCCGCGTGGTGACAGATCATAGTAAAGGGGTCAAGACATGGCTACAGATCTTCCTTCCTCAGACAGTGACCCCCTTCTTTTCAAGGTCATGAGAGAAGGACCCTCTCACTTTGCGATCATTGTTTCAAGTACAGTCTTTTTTTAAAAGAGGCCCAGAGCATCAGTACCCCACTTCATGAACATTTTAAAAAGTATTTGTTGATTAGAAGGAAGGAAAATAGAGCTTAACTCATCTAACATTAAAGTAACCTCAATTGCTTTTGAAGTTCAAGATAGTTCAAGGAATTTCCATAACCCTTTTCTATGATGACTATGACTGTCTGCTGTCTGTCGTCTTTATCGTCATAGTCAGAAAAGTGCCTGCTCTCTTCTGTTCTAAAGCAGTGCGTGACATTTTA